CCCTGATTGAATTGGCCCTGTCAACACTGGTTCTTCACTTGTGAAGTAACTCCCTGCTCTCCATGTGTCAGTATATAATACCTGCATCTGTAACTTTCACTCTATGCATCCGAAGAAGTGAGGTTTTTACTCACGAAAGCTTATGCCCAAATAAATCTGTTAGTCTTTAAGGTGCCACCAGACTCCTTGTTGTTTTTGTAGCACCTTGACTGATCATTGGCCAAATCCTGCAGCCCTGGCAGCCCAGGATAACCTCCCACTGATGGCAATGGGAATTTAGCCTTTGTAACTATCTGCAGGTGCCTGAGGTCTCAGATATGAATTAAACTGGGGGCAGACACCAGCTTTATCCGAAGAAATGAAGGATGTAAGTGAAAGAGCAAAGCTGGCCATCTGGGTCCAATTACCACAGCTGGTAGGGAGAAGAGGAAAAACTCCCTAAAGTGCTGGGAGCAACACCGAGAAAAGGAAGTTTGTCAGTGAGATCAGTAGCAATAAATATGAAATGAAGGAGTGCATTCTCCTCTGTGATGACACGTTTGAATTGTGTTACTTTACTATGAGATGAAGCTTTAAAATATCCTGCTCTAATTTCAGGATGGGTCTGTAACCATAATCAGTCTCTGTAGAAGTGGGACTTTCAAAATTCCCAATGAATTTAAGGGGTGGGATTCACGGTTGGTCACCTGAGGGCAGTGCAGTAGAGTTCAAACCAAAGACCAGAGAGGCAAGAACAGGGATTGTGGGACACCTCCCAGAGCCCAATCACAGCGCCGTAATCGACCAGGATGTCTACACTGGCACCGCGGCACTGTAGCCCCGGTGCAGAAAGCTGTACACCTCTCGTTGGGGTGGTTTTTTTACAGCGCTGCAACTGCACAGTTTCTGCGCAGTAAGTGGCTTGGCAGTGTGTACACCTCGGGAGTTACAGTGCAGAAAGCTGCTTTCCTGAGCAGAAACTTGCCAGTGTAGACAAGGCCCTAGATGGCTTACATAAGAATGCAAAACTGGTCACACTGGGTCAGACCAATGGTCCATCTAGCCTAGCGTGCTGCCTGAGAGTGACCAGTGCCAGATGCATAAGAGGGAATGAACAAAACAGGCTTATTGGCCTGCAAGATGAGGGTTTTTCACCCTTACCTTTAACTTCATTGTTGTTGATCCCTACTTATCCTATCTTACCACAACTCCCCTGAGGTCTCTGGGCAAATTAGATGTGAACCACTCCTTTGATACAGACGTGTCCCAATCCAGCTGAATTGAGGCAGACTTTGGGCCAATGTCAGTTTGGAAAAGGCCCGCTTAACCCAGCAGGTTTCTCAAAGTATCTGTTGTTGTGATCCGCATGTAGTGTGGATGTGTGAACCCCAAAGATATCAAACATGAAAGAAACACAAGACCAGTTCTGAGGAGGTTTCCAGAGCCAGGCCGGAGGGTTAAACAGTTGTGCTCAAAAGGAAAAGGGGAGTCAGCACCTATAAAAATAACTGGTTGCGAAAACAAAACAAAAATTAAATTAAATTAAAAAACCAAAACCAAAAAAAACCCCCAGAAAAGCTACCATCACACATCAATCACCATTTTAGATTTTGACATCTCCTGCCTGATGTGACATCTTTGCTTTGCAAACAAGAGACCTGGGGAACTCTGTGGCTGTTACCCTCTATCTGGGTAAAAGTTGACACATCTTATCTCGAATAATTTTCTTCTTCATGGAAGCTTTATTTTAAAATTTATCAAAATAAATTCCATTTTAAATAGTAGTAAAATAATTACAGTCTATACTGGGTCTCTAGTCCCATAAATGCTGTTTCTTTCACATATTCCCCCACTCTAATTCCTTTGGAGTGAGGTTTTAATTTCAGTATTGGCCACCATTTCCTAGATAGTAGGAGGGGGCAGGGAGAGAACCAGAAGAAAACCGGAATTATATTGTAACACTGAAAGTTATCACATAATCAACCTTTCAAGTTACACTAATTAACTTCATGTTTAATTTCATTGTTGCTGGTAACAACTTATTCAAAGATTACAAAATATAAATTTATAGGGCAGTTTTCTCTTAATTCCCATTTCCACCCAGTCAGCTTTGTGTGAAGTCACATTCTACAATAACCTACCGGTAGGAGCCTTCCATTTCTGTGAGTTCATTTCTCCCTGGGTCTTCTCCCAGAAGTGTGAGTGGAAGGGGGTCTCATACTACATGGGAAGGCTGTATCATGAGAAAAACCACCTGTGCTCTATTTTCACACTTTCTAATCTTTTAAAGTAGCAGGAAGCGGGGAAATGATACAAATGCTTAAGACTCAAGAGCAAAACTAAGAGACCAAACCACAGAGTCAGGACTGAGCATTCGTCTATCCTGCAGTCTGAACTTGGAATCTGATACATTCCCTCATTGGCTACCATCATTTGTACAGCATGGAAGTGCTTCTTGTCCAACAAGGCAGCCAGATTGGGACCCACAGGCATGGAATGGCTCTGAAGGAATCAGCTGTTTCTCTCTCTGCTTCATCTAATTTTGGATCCAAATGGTAAAAGACAATTGTTCCCAATTTAATCATGGCATCCTTTAGGAGTGTGACCAATGCCACTTAACTAGGGAGCAGGGATCTAAAAATAGTTTACCGGGGCCACAGGTGACCATAGCGTCCATCTCTGGGGTGAAAATCAACTACCAGTACCTGCAATTTCTACCTGAGTTCTTGTCAAATCTTTGACCTTACTTGGAGTAATTTTACACTTCTCTGGTGTAGAATTCTTCACCAACCACACAACATATCAGTAGCAATAGTGAGGTATAACTCCCCCGAATATGCCCTTTTATTTCTTTAATCTAGTGGCACAGATTTAAATTAGGGACTAAATTCAGGTATGGCTTAGAATCCCTGTAAGACACCAAAAGTTAGGTAGCTATTAAAAATAGGTATCTTTCTGCAGCTATATCACATTCAACACGGATTTCATTTTCTACACATTTGCAGCATCTCCCAGGGGTGAGATGAAGAGAAATGTCACTTCCCTTTTTCCCATCGCTACCTAGATAGGGATTGCATTTCCCAAATAATAGGCAACATGCACCTGATTAGGAAGGAGATATCTTCAGGAGCAACCTCCTGCAGGTCTTGGGCCACAACTGCTTTTGGAGCCAAATGCATGGGTATTTTACTTAGTTCCAAGTCATTTACTAGGGAATCCTGTTTCCAGACCTTTAGAAAAAAGATTGGCCTAACCAATTGAACAACAGGGGGAATGGGATGGTGATGGAGAATACGGGAATTCTTCTGACTTACCTTATCTTCTTCTGTTGTTACAGAGGGTGAAATGACATTTTTCCCTATTCCTGCTCTTTGTTATAGTTCAATATATTTTAAGTGAGGAAAATGGTAGTAAAAATATCTGCTCTTTAGCACAACCTCAAGCAACATCAGAACAACTGGGAATGAAACAATTTGTTCCTGAAGGGGGAACTTGATAACTAACAATGGCTTTGAAATGGGGGACCAGTATAACCGTAGGGTTTTTCATAGATTCAAGGACTGGGAGGGACCTCGAGAGGTCATCGAGTCCAGTCCCCTGCCCTCATGGCAGGACAAAATACTGTCTAGACCATCCCTGATAGACATTTATCTAATCTACTCTTAAATATCTCCAGAGATGGAGATTCCACAATCTCCCTAGGCAATTTATTCCAGTGTTTAACCACCCTGGCAGTTCGGAACTTTTTCCTAACGTCCAACCTAAACCTCCCTTGCTGCAGTTTAAGCCCATTGCTTCTTGTTCTATGCTTAGAGGCTAAGATGAACAAGTTTTTTCCCTCCTCCTTACGACACCCTTTAGATACCTGAAAACTGCTATCATATCCCCTCTCAGTCTTCTCTTTTCCAAACTAAACAAACCCAATTCTTTCAGTCTTCCTTCATAGGTCATGTTCTCTAGACCTTTAATCATTCTTGTTGCTCTTCTCTGGACCCTTTCCAATTTCTCCACATCTTTCTTGAAGTGCGGTGCCCAGAACTGGACACAAAACTCCAGTTGAGGCCTAACCAGTGCAGAGTAGAGCAGAAGAATGACTTCTCGTGTCTTGCTCAAAACACACTTGTTAATGCATCCCAGAATCATGTTTGCTTTTTTTGCAACAGCATCACACGGTTGACTCATATTTAGCTTGTGGTCCACTATAAACCCTAGATCCCTTTCTGCCATACTCCTTCCTAGACAGTATCTTCCCATTCTGTATGTGTGAAACTGATTGTTCCTTCTTAAGTGGAGCACTTTGCATTTGTCTTTATTAAACTTCATCCTGTTTACCTCAGACCATTTCTCCAATTTGTCCAGATCATTTTGAATTATGATCCTGTCCTCCAAAGCAGTTGCAATCTCTCCCAGTTTGGTATCATCTGCAAACTTAATAAGCGTACTTTCTATGCCAATATCTAAGTCGTTGATGAAGATATTGAACAGAGCTGGTCCCAAAACAGACCCCTGCAGAACCCCACTTGTTATACCTTTCCAGCAGGATTGGGAACCATTTATAACTACTCTCTTGAGTACAGTTATCCAGCCAGTTATGCACCCACCTTATAATAGCCCCATCTAAGTTGTATTTGCCTAGTTTATTGGTAAGAATATCATGTGAGACCATATCAAATGCCTTACTAAAGACTAGGTATACCACATCCACAGCTTCACCCTTATCCACAAGACTCGTTATCCTATAAAAGAAAGCTATCAGATTTGTTTGACATGATTTGTTCTTTACAAATCCATGCTGGCTATTCCCTATCACCTTTCCACCTTCCAAGTGTTTGCAGATGATTTCCTTAACCACTTGCTCCATTATCTTCCCTGGTACAGAAGTTAAACTAAATGGTCTGTAGTTTCCTGGGTTGTTTTTATTTCCCTTTTTATAGATGGGCACTATCTTTGCCCTTTTCCAGTCTTCTGGAATCTCTCCTGTCTCCCATGATTTTCCAAAGATAATAGCTAGAGGCTCAGATACCTCCTCCATTAGCTCCTTGAGTATTCTAAGATGCATTTAATGAGGCCCTGGTGACTTGCAGGCATCTAACTTTTCTAATTGATTTTTAATTTGTTCTTTTTTTATTTTATCTTCTAAACCTACATCCTTCCCCTTAGCATGTTTGTTAAGACTAGGAAAAGTGATGGAGTTTAGGTCAGCTCAAGGGGAAAGCTAATGCCAACCACGGCACCTGGGCTGCATCTGCACTACAATTATAATTGTCTCTTTACACCAAGATCACTAACTTGAGCAGCCAACACCATGTACAGTCCTAGTGGATGTAAGGGACAGGTAGTTTTTGCCTCAGTGTAGCTTGTTGGGATCAAACCTCTCTCTCCCACCTCGAACTGATGAACATTCCTGGCTGGTGGGACACACACTCCTTCAACTCAAAAAGGAGTTGATAGAAAAGATCACAGGACTGACCCCAAAGAAGGGTGAGCTGCAAAAGGCAGAAGCAGGCAACTCATCTGGGGGAGCTGAGACACCACGGTGAAGATGGTGCAAAGATCTCTATGAAGGAATTAACAAATGTGATTTAAAAAAAAAAAAATCTTTGGCCAGCCCTAATCAAGGCATTTGTTATAGTTCTCTCTCATGTGGATTTTCTAATGTCTAATAAGGGTTGAGCTCTGAATGAAGTGTTTCCCACCCTCAGAGTATGGGCTGGTCCACACTAACCCCCCACTTCGAACTAAGATACGCAACTTCAGCTACGTGAATAACGTAGCTGAAGTCAAAGTATCTTAGTTCGAACTTACCGCGGGTCCACACGCGGCAGGCAGGCTCCCCCGTCGACTCTGCGTACTCCTCTCGCGGAGCAGGAGTACCGCCGTTGATGGCGAGCACTTCCGGGATCGATTGCTTACCGCCGGACCCGGAGGTAAGTATATACGTACCCTATGTGTAGGGCATCTCTCCACTGTGGATTCTCTGATGTGTAGTAAGGGCTGAGCTATATCCAAAGCATTTCCTGAACTTAGAGCATGTGTAGGGTGTCTATCCAGTGTGGATTCTCCTATGTCTGATAAGGTGTGAGCTCCGCTTGAAGCATTTCCCACACGCAGAGCATCCATAAGATTTCTCACCAGTGTGGATTCTCTGATGTGTGATAAGGTGTAAGCTCTGATTGAAGCTTTTCCCGCACTCAGAGCAGGAGTAGGGTTTCTCAACTATGTGGATTCTCTGATGTGTGATAAGGTATGAACTCCAATTGAAGCATTTCCCACACTCAGAGCATCTATAAGGTTTCTCACCTGTGTGGATTCTCTCATGTGTAATAAGGTTTGAGCTCTGATTGAAGCTTTTCCCACACTCTGAGCACGTGTAGGGTGTTTCTCCTGTGTGGATTTTCTGATGTCTAATAAGGTTTGAGCTTCGATTGAAGTGTTTCCCACACTCAGAGCACCCATAAAGTTTCTCAACCATGTGGATTCTCTGATGTGTGATAAGGTGTGAACTCCAGCTGAAGCATTTCCCACACTCAGAGCATCTATAAGGTTTCTCAGCTGTGTGGATTCTCCGATGTGTGATAAGGGTAGAGCTCTGATTGAAGCTTTTCCCACACTCAGAGCATGTGTAGGGCTTCTCTCCTGTGTGGATTCTGCGATGCGTGATAAGGTTTGAGTGCAGACTAAAGTGTTTCCCACACTCAGAGCATCCATAAGGTTTCTCACCTGTGTGGATTCTCTCATGTGTGATAAGGTTTGAGCTCTGATTGAAGCTTTTCCCACACTCTGAGCACGTGTAGGGTGTTTCTCCTGTGTGGATTTTCTGATGTCTAATAAGGTTTGAGCTTCGATTGAAGCGTTTCCCACACTCAGAGCATCGATAAGTTTTCTCAACCATGTGGATTCTCTGATGTGTGATAAGGGCAGAGCTCTGATTGAAGCTTTTCCCGCCCTCATGGCATGTGTAGCGTGTCTCTTCCAAGTTGATTCTCTCGTGTGTAATAAGGTCTGAGTGGCTACCAAAGTTTTCCTGTGGCCTCTCCTGAGTCTCACAGGCTTTTGCTTTTTCTGGGAGTGCACAACTCCCGCAAACATTCCCTTTGGATCTTCCTGATAACGTCCCATGGGATTCTACTTGCTCAGCATCTTCCTGCCGGGGTTTCTCCTCATTCTCACTCACCATCCCATCACCTGATGGAAGACAGAGAGAATCCAGACATAGGTCACTCCCTGCACCAGAGAGAAAGGAAATCTCAGAGAGAGGAATGCAAAAAGGGATGAACAAACCAAAATATGTACAGGAGAGATCAAACCTATCAGGAGCTGATTTTCCCCAAATCCTTCCCCAGAGGAGAGAGGAAGGGATCAGTTTTGGTCCGCATCTCACCATAACTCTGAGGGCAAAGCGAGATTGGGAGGGACCTGCTGCCAGTTGTCAGTCAGAATAGGAGGGATGCCATGAGTGACATCTGCCTAATGATTCCACATCTGCAGGGAACAATCCTGAACTTGGAGAGCTCACAAGGTCTTTGTAGGGCATCCCAAATATTTCTTGTATTCACAGAGAGTTTTTGACTTGGTTTAACCAATTCCTCACCTGTGCAGGCAGCTCTCGGGAGCACTTTTTTCTCAGAGTCATGGAAGTCTGGGACCCACGGCTCTTCCCCTCGTTCCAGCTGCGAGATCACATCAGGTTTGGAAACTGGAAACCCTACTCAAGGCAAAGAAAACAAGGAAGGTCTAAGGAGAGAATCCCAGGTCAGATATTTTGCACCCTCATTTTGACAGACTAACGAGTAACCACAAACAGGTGCAATACGCCACAGGACTCTGAAAGAAGGAAGTTTGGGGCAAGCTTTAGCAATTAGGTTGCTATGCAGTATCTCAGCAGTTGGACACATTCATAGATTGGAATTATTAATAAATAAGTGATGTAAATCATTTAATGCTTAATTATGGACTTCCCAAAGGCTACATATGGGTTGGGGCAGCTATTGACATTATTGTAATCAGAGTAAAGGAGCAGATATGGTATATAGCCATCCTATTACCATAAGGAAGTGGATAAAATACCTCTCCTAGTTACCCTTTTTTCATTTTGTTGGGTCTCCGAGACAGTTTAAACTGAATGAGGGCCTCCCTTATGATGGTCTCCCTTGCCCCTCGATCTTTGTTTCCAATGGTGTCCATAACTTGTAAGTATGCACAATGCAAGACCCTCTTTACTATACTTATCTTTGTCTAATTGTTAAGTGTATTGATCATTGCCTATGATTTCAATTATAACTGTCTGTATTAAATCAAATTTCTGTGTGTTTCACCAAATTTCATCTTCTCAATTAAGTTGTATCCCAATACATAATCTTATAGGTGTAAAAATTATACAGGCTACACTACCACCCTGTGACATCATCAACAAAGTGTTCATTTTTGCCTGGGTAGTGGACCTGCTATGGGAGGGAGGAATGCAGCAAGGACTCAGGATCAGTGGCCAGGGTCGCTGTGCATAGAGATGGGGAGGTTATATGGGTAGGGGAGTAATGAGTGGGAGAGGGAGGTCAACAGTTAAAATAATAATATTTGGGGGAAATGTATAATGAAGTGAAACGGAACAGAAATAAAACTGGAGTGTAGGCTCTAAATCAGCAAGACTTGGGTAGGGATTTGGGGTTAAAGGTCTGGGATCTCCCACAGCTCTAGATCCCCAAACCTCTCCTCCCTCCCACTGACCCGCCCAGCCCACTACCTGGGTGCCCTTCCTCCACACTCCCCTTCCCTTCTTCCCATTACTCTCAGCCGTCACCACTTCCCAGCACCTTGGGATCTTCTTGTGTTCCCTCCTCGTCTCTCACAACCTCATCCCTCCCTGCTGCTTCTTAGATCTAACCCTGCACACACCCTCCCCATGTCCTGGCACCCCAGAATTATCTACTCCCCACATTCTCCTCCCTTCCCACAGCTCTGTTCTCCCTTCACCCGTGGAGAATGGTAATATATGCTCTCCTATCAAAAGAGGAGCTCACCTGACTGTCACACAAGCCATGCATGAGTCATACACCTATTTACTCAATTAAGTATTCTACAGGCGGCATATTTTCCTCTTAAAATGAGGAAAAGGCATGAAAGCTACAGTTATTAATGTAACCAATAAGGATACATTAAATGCAATTTTTAAATGATTGATGGCACCAAAAAGTCACATGTCCAAAAATTATACTAGTGGGTGGGAGATCAGGCAAAAAAAAGGGGGCAAGGAAAGCTGCAAAACTTGTATGACGAATAAAGGTATAACGTTATTACTACTCAGGTTCTTTAGAAACCCCACAACTTCTAATAACCGAGGGGACAGGACTCCTTACCCAGCAAGACCACCGTCTCATAGTTCTCCTGCATGACATCCCTGTAGAGGGCTCTCTGAATGGGGTCCAGCAGAGCCCCCTCTTCCCTGGTGAAATGCACAGCCACCTCCTCAAAAGTCACCAGCCTCTGAAAGAAAAAGAGTCCAACACTCAGTACCTGCAGCCCCACTCACAACCCCACTATTCACGGAACAGCAGCACCAGGTAAATGGAAGCTCCGGGAGGCACATGTTAACAGAGTCCCACCCCAGCTTGCTAGAGCAGCCAGGAGGCATCAGTGGGTAGAAAGAGAGAAACTTTGTGTCTCCCAGCTGACAGACAGAGGCAGGGTCTTCACATTTTTCACATACCTACTAGCCAGGGCTTGATATAGGAGATGGGGCTGTCTCTGGACCCTGCTGATGGCTCCCTGGTAGGAATCCCAACACTCCCCATATAAAATATATGGAAGGAAGGGGAAGTCAATAGTAAAGAATATAAGTTAGAAGGTCAGAATTGTAGAAAATTGGTAAGGGAAGCTATCAGAAATCAATGATCAATCAATGAAAATAAGAAGGAAGTTTTTAAAAGTATATTAAGTACGAAATTAACAATGGTAGTGGTAAATTACTAGATGGAAATGGCAGAATTATCAAAAATAATGCAGAAGAGGTCAAAGTGTTAAATAAATCTTTCTCTTCTGGATTTGGAGAAAAACAGACCCTGTAACTCATATCGTAAGATGTTGACACTGACAGTCTTTCTATTCCAACAGTAACTCACGAGGACTTTAAACAGCAGCTATTCAAGTTAGAGGTGTTTAAATCAGCAGGTCCAGATAACAAGAGTTTTGAAAGACCCAGTGGAGGAGCATGGTGGATTGTTAATGTTGATTTTAATTAGGATTTGGAACACTGGGGAAATTCCATAAGACTGGAATAAAGCTAATGCTGTGACAATATTTAAAAACTTTAAAAGAGATGACGCAGCTAATTACAAGAGTGTTAGTCAGAAATCGATACTGGGCAAGAGAATGGAGCAGCCGATACTGGATTTCATTAATAAAGAATTAAAGGGGGGTAATATAATTAGTACCCATTAAAAAGGTTTAGACACAATAGATCCTGTCAAACTAACTGGATATCCTTATTGGATGAGATCAAAAGTTTGGTTGCAGCTAATAGTACTAATGTAATATACCTAGACTTCTGTAAGGCATATGAGTTGGTTCAGCACAATATTTTGACTAGAAAGATACAAAATACACACGGCATACATTAAATAGATTAAAAACTGGGATTTTAAATAGGGAACCATGGTCAAGTTGATTTCTTTCTAGCGGGTTTCCGCAAGGATTGGTTCTTGGCCCTGCGCTATTTCACATTCTTATCAATGACCTAGAAGAAAATATAAAACCATCACTGATAAAGTTTGCAGTTGCCACAAAGATTGGGGTGGTGCTAACTACTGAAGTGTCAGTAGATTCAGGTTCCAGCACTGGGAGTCTAGGAAGTTTTCCCAGTCCTGGGCTGGAGGCTTATTTCCTGTTCCACAAAGAGGGGAAGCTCCATTCCCAACTCCTGTGCCTTGAAATTAGGACCTATCTGACACTACACCCCATATTCAGCATGGTGGTAGGATTATAATATGATTAGGATATAATTATGAGGCATTTTGTACAAGATGAGTCATGTGCGGTGTCACTGGAAAAGTTATGATTTGCTGAATAGGATTATCCTACCTGTGTGCATGGATCATGTTTGTATCTGAAGTTATGGATATTGACTCTGTATCTGTATTTCAAATGTGCTTACTCTGGGTAACACCCACAACGAGCCTTTCAGATACAACAATGAAGAAGCCAGACAGTGCTCATGGCTCATCAACAAAGACAATGGACCGTGGAAGAGCTTAGCCTTCCTGTGAATGTTTCAGCCAGCCTATGAATCATGGCTACTATGATTCAGCAGGGCACTCTAGGGAATGTGACCAGACCACATGGCAATGAACTTCATTTTGGTACTTGTATTTTTCCACAAACTGGACTGGGAACTGAGTTTGGAACAAAGGGTTCTTGCTATATGGAAAAGCTACATAAGGTGAGGTGTGTCATCATCTCTTGGTCTCATTCCCCAGACAAGAGAGCTCCTGGAAGCACCTGAGGAACAAATGACTGAACTGGGGGAAGTGTTGGTCCCAGGGTAAAGGGATTTCTAGCTTGTATATGGAAAGTTGGTGGACTGCTTCTATCATCAGTCAGGGTGAGAAATTGCTAATTCAAATTCTATCCATCTAGTATGTTAGGCTTGGTTTGAGTTTTTGGTTATTTGCTAAGTAATCTGCTTTGATATGTTTGCTATCACTTATCGCTGGGAAATTGGCTGTTGTCTTCTATCTGTCCTTGAGTGGCTTAGGTAAAGCACTCAGGTAGCTTAGTTGGATGCATAGCACCACCTGCTGTCCTGTTGGGTGATAACAAAGCTAAATCTCCAGCAAAGCAGTGTGAAAATGGCCAGCCCAGCTTGAGGGTTAGAGGGCACAGCAGTTCCCAGAAATCCCCCAGACTGCACCCCGGGGTGACAACCCATCAAACCCTATATTACACAAGTCTCAGCAGGTTTGTCACATCCTGTCCCCTCCCTTTCTCCACCCAAGATATTTCCTGCCTCCCACCACTTCTAGCAGCTCCCACCCTCCTATGCATTTATTGCTCCTCTCCCTCCAAGCAGAACCCACCACCAGCTCCCTGATAATCCCTTACCTGAGCCAGCTCCATTGCAGCCATTTCTTTCCCCATGGGAGGATGGGATGATCTGGAGCGAAACGTGGACGTTAATCTGTAGCCTGCCAGGGCAAGAAGGGCAATGTGAGAGAATGCAGACGGGGTTTTTGTCCATTCCACGTGTTGATTCTCCCCAGGATTTTCCCTGCTAATGGACATTCTGGGTTCTGCCTCAGTGTGAAGCACAGAGTGACCTTATTCCAGTACAGGCCTAGCCCCCTCCCACCAGGGTGTAACCCTCTGAAACATGGTGAAACCCTCCCAGTAGCAGAGTCTCTCTGTTACATTTATCAAGTTTGCGGGCGATACCAAGCTGGGAGGGGTTGCAAGTACTTTGGAGGATAGAACTGAAATTCAAAATGATCTGGACAAACTGGAGAAATGGTCTGAAGTAAATAGGATGAAATTCAATAAGGACAAATCCAAAGTACTTCATTTAGGAAGAAACAATCAGTTGCACACATACAAAATGGGAAATGACTACCTAGGAAGGAGCGCTGTGGAAAGGGATCTGGGGGTCAAAGTGGATCACAAGCTAAATATGAGTCAACACTGTTACACTCTTGCAAAAAAAGCAAGTATCACTTTGGAATGTATTAGCGGGAGTATTGTAATCAAGACACAAGAAGTAATTCTTCCGCTCTACTCTGCGCTGATTAGGTCTCAACTGGAGTAGTGTGTCCAGTTCTGGGCACCACATCTCAGGAAAGATGTGGACAAATTGGAGAAAGTCCAGAGAAGAGCAACAAAAATTATTAAAGGTCTAGAAAACATGACCTATGAGGGAAGATTGAAAAAACTGGGTTTGTTTAGTCTGCAGAAGACTCAGAGGGGACATGATCACAGTTTTCAAGTACATAAAAGGTTGTTACAAAAATGCCGGAGAAAAATTGTTCTTCTTAACCTCTGAAGATAGGACAAGAAGCAATGGACTTAAATTACAGCAAGGGCGGTTGGAGATTAGGAAAAAAAGTTCCTGTCAGAGTGGTTAAGCACTGGAATAAATTGCCTAGGAAGGTTATGGAATCTCCATCATTGGGGATTTTTAAGAGCAGGCTGGACAAACACCTGTCAGGGATTGTCTAGATAATACTGAGTCCTGCCTTGAGTGCCGGGGACTGGACTAGATGACTTCTCGACGTCCCTTCCCGTTCTATAATTCTATGAGCCAAAGAACAGAATCAAAGGAGTCACTTTGGGGGATTCTCCCTGTCATTGTCCCCAAGGCAGCTGTCTCAGGTTTACAAAGTGGTCTCATGCTCCAGCCTTTATACAGTCTCTCCTGGGAGTGCCCCTTTCATGGGCTAGGCCTAGTTTTAGCTTTTGACAAGTGTGTCCCCGGGGGCTCTGAGACTGGCCCTTCTTGCCGCAGCACATCTTGTTTCTTTCTGTGTCTCCCCAGAGAGTCCAAATGAGTAGATATGCCTCATACAGACTGTGAACATAAGAACAGCCCACTGCATCAGACCAATGGTCCATGTAGCTCAGTGGCCAATGCCAGGTGCTTCAGAGGGAATGAAGAGAACAGGTCATCATCAAGTGATCCATCCCCTGTCACCCATGCCAGCTTCTGGCAAACAGAGGCTAGAGACACCATCCCTGCCCATCCTGCCTGTGACACTGGCAGATGAGGTGTTAGCTCTTGCAAAAAGCCCCCATATCTTAATTGAACATGGACAAACACATAGCTGGAATCAGTCTGACTCACCTGTGTTAGTATTGTTAAAACAGGTATTAGGATTATAAGAATGTGTTTAGACTTCATTGAATGCTCATGAGTTGCTGCCTGGGTTAATATCTGACTAGTTGCATTGTGAGCCTCTGTGGCTATGTAAATCACCAGACAAGAGAGAGACTGTACCTATGTGAAGTGCTGATTGGCAACAGAATGCATTACACCCTGCCTGGCAGGAAAGCTCCATCAACACCAGAGACACTATTATGGGATGTTAAAGAAGACAAAAGACTGTTGTTGTGCTCTTGACCTCCCATTAGCTGAGTTTGCAGCTCAGAGCACATGGCAGGAAGGGGATAAAAAAAAACCCATACAGAAGGAACTGATTATCTGTATGCTGCTTGGACTCTGGGGGGCAAAGTTTCTAGGCATAATCAAGAGATCCCCAGCTGATTAGCCTGGGTTAGTCCTAAAGAAGATATAGGGCTTCCTTATTATAGAAGCTTCTATTACCTTTTGAAATTTAAGACTGTAACTTGTCTGCATCAAACAGTGTTTGTTGTACTAGTAGTACAAAAGGGGGGGTTGTGGAAGCAGAGAAAGAGCTCACAGGAAGGGGATGCAATACATGACAGTTCGTTAGCAAGAGTCAGGCTAACTGT